TTTAAATACATATCTTAATAAATTATTCATTTTTTTCGAAAAAGATCGAGAGAGGATAAGAACATAACCATTGAAGAATTAGAAGAATTCAATGAAATTTTAGATAAATTTGATGTAGAAATATCATCAATAAAAGTTAAAATTCCTAGTTAAAAATAGTTGCTTTAAAAATATGAATAAATTTATATCACATGATCTTTTTTCCAATGTTATTGAGCATATCTCTGACGAATTTTTATCATTTAACGGACAAATTGAATTAGATGGAAAGATAACTCAAGATAGAAAATACATACAAGACATAAAATTTGTAGGTTTTGATACCATGACTTTTGTCGATTTCTTCCTTGCGCTAGATAAAAAATCGAATTCCTCCGATTCGTATTTCACAGGAAAAATGATTTTCCATAAAAAGGCTTTTTTTTCGAAAAATTCCTAGTTAAAAATAGTTGCTTAAAAAATATGAATAAAATTGAAATTTTAGACGATGAAAAATTCATATCAAATAAACTTTTTTCCGATGTTATTCACCTATCTCTAATGAATTTATAACATTTAAAGGGCAAATTGAAATAGTTGGAGAGATAACTCAAGATGGAAAATACAAACAAGACATGAAATTTGTAGGTTTTAATACCAAAACTTTTGTCAATTTCTTCGCTACAGTGGATGAAAAAATCAGATGCCACCGATTGGTATTTCACGGGAAAAATCATTTTCCGTAAAAATAATTTCAAAGAACTAAAAAGATCAAAAAAGGGTAGTGGTGTTAGCCTACTCAAAAAGATAAAAGAATATATCGGTATAAATTGTTATATACCGAGTGATGGATGCTGCTTTGTAAAGTGCGTAAATTATGTTTTGAACAAAGACTACACGAGAGAATTTCAAGATTTCATCAACAGTTTTCAAACATCAAACAGAAAAGGAGTTATGACAACTGCTAGAATTTGCGAATTCAATAAGAAATTTAATACTAATTTTCAAATATATATGCCCGAACATAGACATTTTCAACCAAAGAAAGTAACCCAAGAATTAGATTGGGTTTTTTATTTACACAAAGAACATTTCTGTCTCATTAGAAGAAATAACAAAGCTTTGGGTATTAAAGAAATAGAAGATAATTACGATGAAAACATATGGAGAACTTGTGAAGATGATAATGCGGTAACGCAAGTTTCACTTCTAAAACTAAACGTTTTTCCAACCATTCACGATGATTGTTTATACGTATGGGATTGCGAAACCTACAACGAAAATAAAGCCATACCTTATTCCTGCACTTTAGTTAATTTAGAAAAAACTAAGGAAAATGTTAAACAGAATAAATAATCTCTTTCCAGATTTAAAGCCGACAGATCCCATTCCAGAAGAATTTTACAACAAACTCATGACTAATATAGTAGAAATATTTGTAGGTACAGATTGCATCGATCAAATGTTACAACGTTTAGGAAAAATAGATCAGAAAAGAATAACATTAATTGCTCATAACGCTAGCAGTTTTGATAACTGGATCATGATCAAAAACGTAAAAAAACTGTAAAACATATTTACAAACTTCAGGGACAGCAATGGGCAAACAATTCGTCCTTCGTACGCAAACCTTTTCATGGCAGAGTGGGAACGTGAGGTGTTGCCCCTCTGTCCATTTGACCCACTTTTTTACGGACGCTTTTTGGATGACATTTTTATGGTTTGGACTTATTCTATCGAACAGTTTTGGGAATTCTTTGAAATTCTCAACAACCACCATCCTTCTATCAAACTAACCGCAAACGTGAGTGACAAAAGCATAGACTTTCTCGATACCACAGTCTTTAAGGGAGATTCCATAGCAGAAACAAATAAACTGGATATTAAAGTGTATTTCAAAGAAACTGATACTCATCAACTCTTGCACAAGAGCTCCTTTCACCCAAAACATACCTTTTCTGGTATAATTAAGTCACAAGTTTTACGATTTCATCGAATTTGTACAAGATCTTCCGATTTCAACCAAGCCTGTACGATTGTTTTCTCAAAACTGAAAGAGCGTGGGTACTCTAAACGATTTTTACGAAACAGAAAAAATTCCACCTTAGCACAGATAGCAGCTAAAAACAGACTTTATGCCGAAGTACCTCCAGGTTTAAGAAGTGCTCCATGTTTGTCCAGTAGATGCAAAACATGTCCCTTTATATCTACGAATAAAAGGTACCCGATCCAGGAACATCTAACATGTGAACATTCGAATGTAATATAATTAATTTCATGCAAGAAATGCCCCAATCAATATGTAGGAGAAACTAAGAATAATTTACGAACTCGCTTTAATGCTCATAGGTCAGACATCAAATTAAAGAAAGACAAGCCTGTTTCTAATCATTTCAACCTCGACGACCATTCAATAGACGATCTCACCCTAATCCCAATTGAGCGTATGGAAATTGACTTGCCCGAAGATGAAACTACCAAATTCCGTCAATCTAGGGAGGCCCATTGGATTGAGACATTGAATACAGCAAGACCTATAGGACTAAATATTCATCATAATGTAGGCATAGCACCCTTTGTTGTCCCGTTTAATACAACCAGCAATCGAGCAAGCAAGATAGTTCATGCCCACTATAGGAGCCTTCAAGAGAAATTCCCCCATGTCTATAAGCAGAAAATGATAGTTGCATAT